CATCTAAGAAAATTGTCACATGCACATGACTCCAAACTTGAACAATGAGATGCCATTATATAATCAAAATAAATGACTATGAGCATAAGGTTCACACATTCATTCATCAAGGTAATACAAGCATAAGATTCCAAATTATTTTATGAGCTAACACGATAATATGAGCACAAAATAACATGATAGACTATAACATGATTACGAGATTCACTAATTGATATCAAATATAAAAAAATAGTGCTTAACTCAGGCTATTATGAACATTAGAGTAACTAAATGGAATCAATATTTTAATAAAGTTAAGAGTTTCAACTAAACAAATAGAGATGCAAGAACAAACAAAGATGTTTTAGGTACTTAAAAAAATCTTCCTTTCTTACGGAACACTCAAAATTGATTTCATTTGGCACGAGTCATCAAATAGAGATGCAAAAACACCCCTAGACCGTTGAAATTAATTTCCTTTTCATTGTAACTAGGAAAATCTTTAGTCTTTCACATAGATCAAACAACAAAGACACAATAAAAGCTCTAAGTAATAAAAAAAAGCTTTCCTTTTCCGCTAATAAAGACAGAAGATAATCGCTAGGCAACTAAAAAATTTGATTTCCCTTTTCACTGACCTAGGTTATTAAAAAAACAATTCTTTTTCTACTAATAGAGATGCTAGATAATCCATCAACACCTTAAAAATTAACTCCATAATCATACAGATACGCAAGAAATGACATGTGTAATAAAAAAATCTTCCCTAAATACACCAGTGATTTTACTCATCACAGACCTCAACAAATAGAGATGCAATGACACCTCGACACTAAACAAACCGTGAAACAAAGAAGAAAATCTTGAAGAGAACTCAACAAACAGAGACATAATAACACCACTTGACACTTACAAACAAAAATAATTTCCTTTCTCATGGCCAAATGCTCTCATTTTTTAGAAAACTCAACCAAAAGAGATGTAAGATAATTCCAAGGAAAACCAGTAATATAATATTATAAGGGAAACAAAACTTAAAAGCTGCTTGGACACAAGAATTGAAGGCAGAAGTAGTGATATGGAAGAGGAGCGCATACTGCTTTGACTGGAGTCGAAATATAAAATTAAGGTGCGTAGAACTACCCTTTAATTTATCGGTAAAATAATTTTGCAAAATCCCTTAGTTATGCAATGTCATTTTACAGAATAAATTGATGAATGAAGGCTCATCAACCAGTTCGCAAAACAAAAGCTATTTTAGGACAAGTACTCAAAATTGCGAGCCCCAAATACCTCAAAGTTGGGTTTTCAAATGATAAACAGTTAATAAACTACCCCAAACACACTCATAGTCTTTATATGTTGTCTATGGGTGCCTTAAATTTGTTTGTTTCTACAATCTTTCTAGTAATTTTTATATGGTAGAACATATTTTCATCACTTTAAATTCCCTTGGCTAAATACATCTTGTGAGGCAAGTTACTTGAAAATTTCATTATATGTTGTTAATTTTATTTCATCATCTATAAGCTATCAATTTTGTAATTTTAAGTTGTTGAACTTGTGGTTTATTGGTTAGGTGTTCTTACTTTCCCATCTATAATCTATTAGCATTTTTATATGGTTCTCTACTAACCTGTTAAGGGTTTGGCATACTTGGTTCTATTTGGATGATCTGTTTATTATTTATCCCTAATGATTGTTCACATTTCATGGAATGATGTTATACTATTGAAATAAATTGTTGGTTTCTTATACTCAAAATTTAAATCTCTTAATAGGTTTATTGCTACTCAGTGACACAACTCTAAGAAGCCTTATTTGGGTTTCTCAACATTTCCTATTATTTTCATTTTTGTTTCTTATACTCAAAATTTAAATCTCTTAATAGGTTAGTGATGGATATATATTATTGCTACTCAGTGACACAACTCTAAGAATCCATATTTGGGTTTCTCAACATTTCCTACTATTTTCATTTTTTTATGGAAAACTTCATTGATTATCAACTGCAACAACTTATAGAAATCTTGCTTCCATATTTTCCCTTTTTCTTCATTTATGTAATCATATTATAATATTTTGATTGAATTGATATTGGCAAGTATAGCCCTCAAATTTTTCAAAAAGAAAAATGAAGAGAGAAACCTGCCCCAAATAATCAAATCTATGTAATCGAATAAAATAGTCAAGTAACAATGTAACATAAATTTCGGGAATAAAATTTTGTAACAATTTAATTAGGCTGGCAAAGAAATCTTAGTCAACTCATGTGCACTGGGCTATGGCTGTCAAAACGGCCCGTTGTTCGCGAACAGCTTGTGTTTGACTCGTTAAAAAGCTCGTGTTCGGCTCGTTAATTTTGTTCGATAAGTTAACGAGCTGATTCGTCTCGTTTTGGCTCGAAATACTGCTCATCAAGTTTATATATATATATATATATATTCGTGTTAATAAAAATTATTAAATTAGATTCAAATGATATTTTAATATAAATAATAATTTGTAAATCTTGCTCAAACCCTTATTGTCTTATGACTACATGATTAGAATTGTCAAAAGGACTCTTTGTTCGTGAACAACTCGTGTTCGGCTCCTCCAACGAGC